AGGCATCGGCGGAGCTGTTTGTCCTACGTACTCAAACAGATGGCTGAGGTGCTGTATTGGAAGGTCCAGTCTGAGCGCAATTAAAGTCCAATAGACAAGCAGGAAGGGTGAGAGCTCTTCATTTCTACTAGCGACTGAGTTAGGTAAGTAGAAGAGTCCTGGAAAATGCAAAGTTTGGAAGCCGACCGGTAATACTTCACTGTGTTATCATCACCACTCAAAAGTTCTAATACATCCGGTACGTATCAGCTCATACGCTTCAGCTGTCTTTTTCTTCAATAAGATGGTTTGATAACATCTCGTCTAGATTGCAGAGTCAATATACATTCCATGTCCTGGTCAGCTGGCGGCTGGTCTAGGGCTGCGGCGGCGGCGCCTGCGGCGGTCTAGGCTGGTGCGCGCGCTGCGGACTGGCAAGGGCTGGAGGCGGCGCGCCTGCGGCTGGTCCTAGGGCTGGGCGGCTGCAGCTGTGCTAGGGCGGGTGCGGCTGCAGATCGGACTAGTCTGGAGGCGGCGGCGCCTGCGGATGGTGTTGGGCTGGAGGGGCTGCCCGCTCCAGTGGCAGGGACCTGCGCCTTACTGCCGCTGATATCTCGCTTCATTCTGTTTTTTTTGTACTTCATTGTGGCCTAACAACAGGGATGGTGTCCATCAGGTGGTTTCTCCTACATGCTCATATGGCTGGTTTACCTACACGAGAAAATAATAACAACATATAAGTAATAATATAATAATTTGCACAATCTATGTTATCAATGTTTTAAAAACTGGCAACTATGTCCTAAACACATCTCAAGTACTTTTTAAGGTCCACCTCATACTGTCATATGAAGTTTATGTACAACAGAAATTCATTAGATTATGTGTACAACTAAGTAATCTAGCTTTACACTGGCAAAACGACCTCGCAAACCGTGCTAAGTAAGAAACAGCCTGAAGGGTACCAAAGACACAGAGACAAAGGCACTACAGAAACCATAATAACATATGCTTACCTACGCTTCCTAGCTTTAAGAGACAACTACATAAATACATTTTTTAGAGAACGTACCAGATAAAAGGCAAGAACACACTCCGTCGACAGGGTGTGTGATCGTAAGTAAGGTCCTTTCATCTAATTGCAAGCCAACCCAGACAAGCCGACGTCTCCTTGTCAGGTCAGAGAATTGCTCCCTTGATTTTTTCCATATCGGTAACCTAAAAAACTGTATCCCGTGTTTACTGAATTTTCCATATCCATCGTGAGGTATGGAGCAGTTTTAACGCAGCAGTTCTATTTTCCAGGCATGATAAAACATGCGAATAGCAAGAACCTCTCCGCTACTACCTACCACGCTTCACACACACGTAAACAACTTAACTGTGCCGCCACCCGGTGCGCAGCCAATATGTCGGCAAGGGGGATATGGGAGGGGACTCTGTGCCGTACGTCAACTCCTCATTCTCAATATAGAAGCTATTTTCAATTAAACAAACTGCTGTTCATGCAAATTTAATATTTTCCTGCATTAACATTTTTTCTCATTCTTATTTTTTCACAATTCTTGAGTGTTTTATCCATGCCATTGTGACATTAAATGCTCCTGTGGAAGTAATAAAGCTTATCTTCTTATTTGAGTCCATCAGATACAGGTTAAATTTCTTTTAGATATTTATTGAACAATAGCCCAAAACACCCACAAACAACAAAGATAGGCATCTGAAAACAGTCCCTGCTTTTGCTTCCCCCATAGCGCGCGCATGGTGTGTGAGTGTGTGGTGCGCGTACGCTCGTGTGTGGTGTCGTTCCAAGCCCAGCCTTCTGTCTATCTATATGTTGTTTTATCTGCGGGAAAATGCTGAATAAATGAACATCAGAGATTCCGAGAAAATAGCTTGGCGGCGACGCTAAAAATAAAACATGTTATTATACATAGTTTATGCAAAATAAATAAAAAAATTGTGGTCCAAAATAGAGTGGGAAAGAATGGATGTTCGGAACGTATTTCTTCAAGCGTATCAACATCAGGGTTTGCTCAAGAGATATCACCTTTCAATTTTAATTATCCCATTTTTTTAGACAAACATCGTAAAAGTTTTCCCATCAAAAGAACTAACATTATTTTAATTTGGACATGTGGTCCTAAAAGATGATTATTTTTACAATTAAGCTATAATCTCAAAAAAAACGTCTATGAACCTTCATCTTTTAATATACCGTTTTTAGAGCATCTGTCAAAATTGATAACATATGCAATAAATTACAAAAAGACAGTAACCCGGAATCAAACCCCGGTTCTAATATTGTAACACACTCACACAGTTTTAGACCAGGGGTGCTCAATAAGTCGACTTCGCGATCTACCAGTCGATCGCAAAGGTAGTATAGGGTAGATCGCATTAAATAAATAAAAAAATTACACATTCTAAATGTTTGAAACGCCGTACTGCATCTGTGTTTAACAGAATATCCGGAAGTTTTGCGTTCTCGCACCCACAGTTACCCCCTACATTTCCTCTGATCACTGAAGCATGGATCAGACTACCTTAAAACTGATCACTGTGAGAGCTCGGAAGCACGAACATCCTCCACTTCAGAGAGCAGCAAAGTGATCGCGGGGACTCACGCTTTGAAAACAACTAAACATGACTAAACCAACTAAACCAGGACTAAACCAGGACTAAACCAGGAACTAAACCAGGCGAGACGGGTCAGTGCTTGTAAACATCGTCTTAACTCTGAGTGTCTCTATGACTAAAAGTGCCGTTATACCGGCGTCTGCAATCAGAACTGTCCATTTCCGCCCACTTCTGTGTTTTTCCCCAACGCAGGACTGGATCTAAGACACCACATTTTTGGAATTGATAGATAACGGCAGATGTGTGGAGGCAAATTATTTTATAAAAACGGAGGAGGGAAAATTTGGATTTTAAATAAACCATGCATGCACAGGGACATGGCACCACAGTCAATGACATCCTGTGTTTTAACCTCAGTAATGTTTTACGGACACTTAGGTGACTGCCACAGCTGCGCAAACACCGCCTCATGCTGGAAAGCTAAACCACGCCACACTTGCCAGCGCGTTACCAACCAATTTTTCCGGACTATGCATCCCTGGCCGATTCATTCAGTGCTATCAGAAGAGAAACTCGTAAATTGACAAAAATAGTACATAGATAATTGGTTGTGTTGTGCTATATTGCTCATGCTTTGCCTTTACAAAAACAATATTGTAGGTAAAAAGAATATTTTTTGAAATAAATATATGATTTCATTTTCTGTAGTAGTAGATCAATACTATTGAAGCCTTTTATAAAGTAGCTCGCATGGCTGAATAAGTGAGCACCCCCTGGTTAGACTCACTAGGCCACCGATTCCACACGATTGAGACACTGTGAAACGTATCAAGTAGAAAAATCTTCTGCATCACACGTGACATATATCAGCTGTCTCATTGTTCAAAGGCAGACCCGATATAAACCTCGTTTTAAGTCTTTGTTTTGTCATTAAAGATTTGAGAGTTCATAACCAGACCGTTTTTAGTTCTCTCGCGCCAACATTGTGCGTCACTATGCAAAACAGTTTGCACGCAGTCCATATACCTGACGCACATTGGGTTGGTGGTTTGTTCCAATCTTGGTGGGGACATTTCACTAACGACCTGAGTCCTACACCCATTGACACGGGTCCAGATTTCGCCCCAGAATTTGTGTGTAATCACACTCTAATTTGCAATAGTGTTTGCCTTCTAACTATACTCTGCTGTAGACTGAATGAGAAGCATTAAGGATTTTTCAATAGTTTAAAAAGCAAAATCAATTGATAGAGCTTCTGATTATTGTGTTGCGTTCCTATCTATACTGAACTTAAAACCTAATCCAAATCAACAGAAATAGCCCTACACCTGAGCTCTAACAGTTCAGAACTCTCTCGTTACTGAAATAAATCATTGCGCTGATCTTCTCAATTTCCAATAAAAATATAAACAAGAGAAAATATTGAATTAGAATCTACAGAGAGTAGCCACTACATTGTTTGACCATATACATCAATCTCTAAAAACAATTCATAGTCCCATCATACCTACAAAATTCCAACCTCACCTGAATGCACGAAGACCTTTGCTTCTAGACCAACATTCCCTATACTTTGTTCTCGACTTGTTGGTGAGTTTCCTATTAGGTTAACAGTAAATTAAACATCACAATTCATAATTTGCTAATTACTTGGCTTCTCTTTACTTACTTCCAACGTAACTTGCTCCTGATATCTTTTATCTTTTTTTTGTGGCGTGCAATTTTTTCTAAATATATAAAAAGGTAAAACAATCATAAACAGACATTCATATACATTAATTGCAGATTCATTTATATAATGTGGCCAATTGTGCAAAAGTTACATATATTTCTCAATACAAGAGTTAACCAAGAGTTTGGCAATAAGTAACAGTGTGGATTTTTCTATATTTTCTTTTTTTTATTGCCACTCTCAACCCAAAAAGGAGCAAGTAATGACCTCACAGAGATATGGGCTCTCAAGTAGCAAAATAAAAACTTAATACCTTTTTTGATGGGTGTTTTGCGCACAACCACATCATCGCTTTAACGCAATGGAAAATTTGGTATCCGAGCTTTAATTTCGGAGCGCTGGTTGCGCTTTGTGAAGAGTCAGGGAGAGACATGTTCCAGAGACACAGGGGAAAACGTGGGAGATACGAGGGAGTCCCGCACTTGGCAAACATGGGTTCTGTCTGCATATGTCCGAGCTCGGTAACCAATTTAGAGCTGTGCTTCACTGAGCCGCCGCGGCTCAGTCAATACAAAGCGCAGCAGCTGCACCAGGACGTGCACATTCGATGGCATCGCTTGAATGTGCTAGGAGCCAATACAGCAAGTGCCCGCTGTCACACATTCACAGAAATTACATTATCAGCAGATAAGATGTAAATCGGGATCCGTGGAATAATTTCATCACATTTACCTGATTCACACAACACGCCCCACTTAATACATTTTGGATGGTAAGATCACAATAATATTTTTTCAGCCATTCAACCAACCTGTTTCTTTAATTGGAGCCCAGTTCTGTTCTGTCTCTGTCCGTGTGATGCTCCTCAACATTAAACATTGCCTACAGATACGAAATAACTAAGTCCTTTGAATGTATAGATCTAACAGTACTTTCCTCTCTTGATTACACCGTCTACAAACGCTCAGAGGAACGTAAAACAACAAAAAACACTTGCTTCACAGCTGGCTAAACTTTAAAAAATAAACATCCTCTCAGACTGCTTCATTGGCGCTGAAAAGACAGCCAATCACTGCAGAGAACGGAACGGGTCCCACGTGCTGCTGCTGCTGCAGTTGCTCTGGAGGCGAGGAGGAAGGCCGCACGTTGCACAAACGAAACAGACCTTTTCCCCAAACCGCCACTCCCCCTTCTCCACATCTTCCCTTCCGCTTTCTCGGAGGAAAGCAACGTCCGGTTTTGGCGGTAAGTCCAATGACAGATCGATACTTTCAGAAACGAGTTGAAATATCTCAATATCATTCTGATTTTTTCAGAAACATCCTTCTGGCTATGTCGGAGCACTCCGTTACGGTCACATTTATTGGAATATTTCTCCGCTAAAATGTTTGTGCTTAGTAAAATCGGTGGTTTGTCAAGCTAAAGGCTAAGTTAGCATCCAGTTTTCCTGCAAGCTGTTTTCTTTTGCTTAGAAAAGCATTATATTAACAATATCGTAGTTAGACATGTTAAAAAGAGTGACTACAGTTGTGAATGTTTATTTCAAACAGTTGTTTCTATATAACTAATTCTTCTTCTTTCTTTTTTAGTTTGCAGCGTGAGAATTTAAGATGGAATTTTACATATCACTTTTGAATCTTCCTCAAATACAATTGCTGATGTCCAGGAGGATTGGACAAATATCCATTGACCAAATGTATAAACCTGACAAAGGCTACAATTCTGTAATGAAGGATATATTTTCAACTTCCAGGGTGATGTACTTTTAAATTGATAATATATTGAGAAAAGGCCTAGGAAATTGTTTTACCTCATACCAATATATTTTCAAGCAAGATTCGACTTTCTAAACAAGATTATTTTCCATCATATCTAATGTAGTTCAGGTTGAGTTACCGTGAGGAAATGTCACATCAATGCAGAAAAAGCGAGAAGCTCACATTCTTCAGTTACTTTTGAGTGTACTAAAATAGGTTTCTTTGAAAGGGAGGGTCAGTAAATTTGCAATCTTTGCCTATATACTCACCTCACATTTGTTTCACTTCACAGATAACCTTCCTTTCATTAATACCCAACTGTGCAAGGAATCTCATGCTCGTGTGCCGCTGGAAGGGCCATTGTGCAATCACCTGTGCTCATCTAATACCAAATGGCTCACTATCGTACACTGCTTTAAAACTGTGCCATTTCCTCTAAATCCGCACAAGTACAGTGCAATCTGATGCATCGGCCTAGACACAGGTAGACCTTGAATGTCAAAAGTGAAGCTCATACTGGAAATTGTTATTTTAATATTTCTAGGGGATTGCACCAGAGGCTATACCACTGATTATGGTGGTAAAAAAAATCCCAATGAAGACCAAAGGTTGTACAGCCGTGGTGTCAAAAGCACACTCTTTACAAAGCCTATCTTCGGTGTGTATTGATGATTAACATGCACATGCTGACACAAGATAAAAAAGTATAACCAACCATATATAATACCTTTATATTTCCATAAGTCAATATTACTAACAATTAATTATATATAATATAGAGAATCTAAACATTACTCTATAATGTAACATGAAAAGAATATATTATAAATCTTATATGATAAATTATGATCGAAGTTAGGATGAGTAAAGACTGATACTGAAAGACTAATAAGGAATTAAGGAAACTTTTAATATATAAACTTATTAGACATACACTTACAAATCAGTGCATGTTATAGTAAAAATACCACGGCATAAACCAATTCTGTAGCACCACATCAATTAAGTTAAGTTCATTAGAATAATAAAGAGGGTGGAAGTTAAAAAGTCTTAAACTTCTTCACACCTCCGTTTGAACTGGAATGTTGTTAATAAAAAAAAAACTGTATATTTGCAACTTCTAGTCTGTCTTTTTGTTGTCCCTTCCTGGCTCGAAAAAAAATAATTCATCAATGAGCGGAAGCTTTCCTCATAGGTGCTTGGTTTTTCAACTACTGCACATTGCTACGTCCTTACCTCCAATAAACAAATTGGTGCAGAAGCTAATAACCTCCCAAGTTTGTTTTTTGGGGTTTAGTTGGGGGGTGTGTGTTGTGTGGTGTTTGTGGGGTTTGGGGGTTGGTTTTTTGTGGTGGTGGGGGGGGGGGGTTTTTTTTGGGGGGGGGGGTTGGTTTGGGGGGGTTGGGGGGGGGGTGGGGGGGGGGGGGGGTTTGTGTGGGTGTGGGTGGGGTGGGTGGGTTGGGGTGTGTTTTTTATTGGTAGGGTTTGTTGGGTTTTTGTGGGTTAATAATCAAAGTTGTGGCGAATTTTGCGTTCTTTAATTAAGAGATCCTTTAATCGTCCCATAGAGAGAAATCATATGAATGGTCTGATTTTAGAAGCGCTACTAACCATAATGAATTAAAGTTAGAGGTCGAACCACTTCAAACCTGTTTTTTGTGGTATCTGTAAAATAACTTGTCATTATAAAATCTAGGGTTAGAGAGAAGACATTTTCTTTTAAATGAAGGCGTCAAAGTAGTTAAGAAGTAAAAGTTATACCAGAAAAAAAAAACATGTTATTATAAAAACGTTATCCACCGGTTTAAAGAATCTCTAGAATATAAGCACATTATTGAAGCCTAAAAGATACAAATTTGAAAGATGAGACTTCCAATGGTTGAAGACACATTGTAATGTTTGGTATGGCAGAACACACACAACTCGACTTGACAAATAAAGGGGGGGGGGGGGTTGGGGGGGGGGGGGAGGGGGGGAGGGGGGGAGTGAGGGGGGGGAGGGGGGGGGGGGTAGGGGGGGGGGGGGAGGGGGGGATTTGGGGGTGGGTGGTGTTGTTGGGGGGGGGGGGGGGGGGGGTGGTGGGGGGGGGGTGGGGGGGGGGGCTTGGGGGCGTGGGGGGGAGGGGTGGAGTTTGATGAATCAGATGAATAATATTGTTTTGGGGGGGGTTGGAGTATGGGGTATATAGAGTATGAAGAAGAGGATGGGAGATCTCTCTATCTGGGGAAGATGGGATGAGTATGGTTCTAGGGGGAAGAATATTTGTGTGATTGGGATGGGTGGTGAGTGGGAAAATGTAAATAGAATTTAAAGTCTCTAATTACGAAACAATGTGCTAAGGGAATTAAATGAAGATGGTGATAAGGTTTAATGGAGATATATAGATGATGTAAGAAGAATATGTGGATGGTGGAGAAGGGAGTTAGGGTTTGGTAATGGAAAAGAAGCCAATGACCAGGGCCGACAGCACCATTATGATGAAAACGCCCCAGTGGGTCCACGGGACACCACCTCCTACAGGCACGGAGCCAACGTCAACTACGATTACTACTAACCCAGAATGCACCTGTGGCCATCCTGCATCAGCCGACAGTTCACCATGTGGTCCTGAACAAGTGACTAATTACACCAAAGATGGAAATAAAACAAAACCTTTGTGCTTCCGAGTCTTTTTACCCAGAGTCATAATGTCGCATTTCAGTCATTTGACTGTAACACAAAAGCAACTGTTCTGACAAAAAAAATCTTTCATCTGAAATGAAAGGGATTGTTGCTTAGCAGTCTTTTAGACCACTCTGTGGTTCAGAATCTGCTTTTTAAATAACAAAACAAAAGCTTGGCTGTTAGTTCTTCTCATTCTTCAAGCTTTAGTGATGGAGTCATTGTTGACAGTTTGTGAAGTGATCGCACAGAGACCCCTCAGTCAGACCCCTCAGTCAGAGCCCTCAGTCAGAGCCCTCAGTCAGACCCCTCAGTCAGACCCCTCGTCTGCAGAGAGCAGTCAGTTGTGCCGCGGTCGTCCTTTCTTCATCCTGGCAGCTTTAGGTTTGGGGATGTACTGGTTGTTGGCTTGGTGCTCCAGCTCTCGGTTGAAATACTGAATGGTTTTATTCAATCCTTCCTCGAGCGGCACCTGGGGACAGATACATGGTTCATGTTTAAAAAACAAATGTTACTCAGTTACTTTACTTAAAAAAACTCATACATTTGAGAACAGAAAAGTTTGATCATCCATACTCAGAAACAACTGCAAAAGTTCTCATAGTGTAGGTCAGTGAGCACTAGGGGCACACACAGGTATTACACAGGGTACTTTCAATTATGATAAAAAAAACTCTAACATTGATAGTAAAAGTTTGATATGGGCGACTATAGAATGTTACTCAGTGGCCCCTCGTGTTCGCAGGAGTTGTATATGATGTTCTTGGAGTGGACATGCGGTCTACGAGCAGTTTACAATAGGCGTGCAAAAATTCACAAATAAATAGCGAAACAGCGATGAACCGCTGCTGAAGGGCACCGTGACGTGAACCTGCTCCAGTGGTCTCCAGACTAATGAGTCATCATCCTAAACCTGCATGGTCGGTTTGTCAGAGCTGATGCGTACCACAGGTTCCCAGCCCAGCAGCATTTTGGCTTTGCGGATGTCGGGTCTTCTCCTCTGTGGGTCGTCCTGAGCCTCGGGAAGAAACTGGATCTGACTGTGACTCACTGCCCAGAGAAACGCACAAGAGGAAAAGGGAAAACAAAAAAGTTAAACGTTTTTTCCAACGAGGGATTAGACGGAATTGAATGAATCCACTTTACCGACAAGGCTTTTGATAAGTTGAGCGAACTCCAGAATGGTGTGCTCCTCTGGGTTGCCCTAAAAAACAACAGGTTTGAGTCATGAGCCTTTGAGTCATCTGTGTGCAGAATCCTCGGAGCGGTAACTCACCAGATTGACAGGACTGCTAATGTTACTGTTCATCAGCAGCACCAGCCCGTTCACCAGATCACTGCATCCAAACAGACACAGGATTTTAGACCTTATATTCTTTACATTACACCTTAAAGATACTGTATGTGCAACTCTGTGAAGGTAAGGATTTAGAATAAGACATTTTTAGGACTTTTTAATTTTCATGTTTCATTTTGTTTTTAATTCAAGAAAAGACAACTCTTAAAGAGTAAAACATTTAAGAATCAGAATCCAGCAGTAATGAAGGTAAATATCAAAGGCCTATAGTAAATTATTACACGTTTAATATTGCTGCTGTTTTCTTTCCCGTGGCAGTGGCACCGTTACAGTTGACTATGAAATATCATTTTACTTGAACATACAGGAGAAATAAAAATATTGTTCAAATTTTCATTCGTTTTTGTAATTCAACTTCAAGATTTTATTTGCCATTTGCAGTAAAACCACATTGGAAAAACTCCACAAGACTTCCCCAGTGTGCACAAGATCTACACCCCAGAGCTCTTGCCACGGTGCTGGAAGACTAAAATTATGAAACCAATAAGTGATATAGACTTCTTACATGCAAAGAGCACTGTCTACTTTCTACATTGTTTTAGATGTTCAATTTATTGATGAGTCAATTATCAATATTATCACAAATAAAGGCTCGAGAAATGTCACTCTGCCTGTAATGAGTCCGTCATCTCAGTTTCACATTGTGAGTTCAATTACAGTAAATGGACTTTTGAACCTAATTTTCATTTTCCGAGTATCACCTACATCATTTGACATCTGAAGAAAAAAAAAGGTTAACCCCCAAAAACCTTTATTGGCCGTATCTTTGTGAAGTGTAGTTGAAGTAGTGTAGTGACTGTTGGTGACGTGGCAGATTTGGCTGTAGTATTGAATTTGGGATCAGGCTACTGCAGTTCATTATTTTGGAAAAAATGTACGATTCAATTGTTGATTTTGGGTATATGCTGATGTTTTTTGCAGAAGCAAAGATATCGCAATGGTTGGTTGTCAGATTAAGATACACCAGTCTCCAGTTTAAGGTTTGCATCACAAGTTACAGAGAGTAGGAATGAGGAGCACACAGCACAAGACAAATGAAAAATAACTCTAAAGAGAATTAAAATAAAATCTCTAAAGAAGCAAAAAAAAAAAAAGAAGCAGCATAAAATCTCTATCTTTAGCATAATAAGGAGAGAAGTTTATAAATCTTTAGCATAATAAGAAGCAGGTACAGGTATATTAGTGCAGGTAATATATAGTTCTGTATCTGTAACAATTTATTCTCATTATAAGAAATTACGTCAAGTTCATGGAATGGACTCAGTGTGGACAGAGAGATGACCGACAAGGACTGGTCTGTGTCTGTCAGAAGAAGACCTTGGCTTTTACCACAACATCGCAAGTTAAAGGGGCAGAAGGTGAACCCTTTGAAGAGACAGGAGACCTTTAAATTATGCATCGCTCTCCTTTCTTCTTACGGCTGAAATTAATGGCGTTATCATTGGCTCCAAACCTGATACACATTCTTTTATCCTGCCACATTTACATATTTCTGCTTGTCCAGATAAATATATATGCATATGTGCTGGTATTTCAAAGACAGTGGAATACCTTTTGTGGTCTATTTATCTCATTGTACAAAGTGCTAAAGGTCAGACTTGCTTTGTGAGGATCATTTCATATTATTGTATTGATAAATCCATTTCCAACCAAACGAAGAGGATTTCAATGCAAAATTCAAAAGTGCCAGCCTACCTTACATACTGAAAAGCCCTGGTTTGGGAGCCAGTACCATACACCTGGGAAGAGAAATTAAACAGGTTTTACATTATTCAAAACGTGATTAATTGATATTTATCAATTCAACTCATTAACGATCTCCACCACCTTCTCATTACAGTCTCGTGTGATTTAGCCTTCAGTGAGAGACCAGTTGAGAATGACTAATCTTCCTTGACACTAATGCTTGGCCGGTATGAATGAAAACAAGCAGATTAAATATTTACAGTAAGTGGTTCTCCTTGTAGAGCCTGCAGGATGAAGTTGCTGACCACGCGCCCGTCGTTCATGTGCATTCGAGATCCAAAAGTGTTGAAAATCCGAGCCACCCGTACCTCCACTCCTTCCTGTGGACACATATTGGAGGCTTGGGCTGGACATTCATGTCAAATTCTACAACAAATGTGTTTTATCCAGGATTCTCCCTTATCGACAATACAGCCATGTGGCAAAAGCAATCAAGAGAATCAAAAACAGTCAACCAGACAGGAGCAAGAACACATGCATCCACACAAACAAAACAAATAGATCATTCTAAAAGTAGCTAACAACCGTATTAAAATGTAACAGCCCTTCAGGTCACACCAGCAGAGGTGGTGTAGCCGCTGGGTGGAGCATGACAGGTCACAACCGCAGAGGTGGCCATACTTGAGCCAGATCCCATCAGGCATTGAAGCTGTGCAGGCCAGTACTGTGATGGGAGACCTGCGGCTGATACGTGCAAACTATTGTTGCGTCCTTGGGCAAGACACTTCACCCACATTGTCTAAAATGATTCTGGGGTGTGTGTGATTGGTTGGTGGTAGTCGGAGGGGCCCGACGGCACATACTGGACAGCTGTGGCTACAGTAAATGCCAGTAGTTTATCACCACTGAGTATAGAGTGAATGAATAATGACATGTGAAGAGTCCTGAAAAACTCTATATAAAGCAACTGCATTATTAACCGCTGGGTGGGACCGGACAGGTCACAGCAGCAGAGGTGGTGTAGCCGCTGGGTGGAGCAGGACAGGTCACAGCAGCAGAGGTGGTGTAGCCGCTGGGTGGGACCGGACAGGTCACAGCAGCAGAGGTGGTGTAGCCGCTGGGTGGGACCGGACAGGTCACAGCAGCAGAGGTGGTGTAGCCGCTTAGTTCGGACTATTTTCTCTGCTCTGGTAAAAAAAAATAGATTTCTCTATTGGATTTCGGCTTAATCTGCTTGGTTCAGTCCGTGAATCCACTCTGCTCTGGTCTGGATCAGAACTATGAATGCTGTATTGCAGTAACATTTACAGGTAGAAAAAAATATATATATAATAATTGTAAATCACAAAACAAAACAGTTTTAGAGGTACTTTGAAACAGCGCATTCAAAAGACACTCTGCTGAGGGGAGTTTTTTTGGACTTTTTAATGCACTTGTTAAATGTATGGGGCTAATGCATGCGCAAATTCAATTTGAAAAAGCCCATAGAATTCAAAATTGGTGGCAGATTAGTTTCAACGGCGGAGATAGGCGTGGCTACTTCTTTTGATATTTACAGTCTGATGTATTGTGCGTGGGGCAAGACACATCATATTTAGCTCTGCAAGCTGTAACTGGTATGCTTTCACTACAGGCGCCTTCTACAATCAAATTGTTGTCGGACTACGTGCAGTGTTGTAAAGAGGAACTGTGTCAGAGTCAGATCGTTTTGGGTTCTGCACAGAGCTAGCAGCTTGCGCTAGCCTTCGCTGCTGGATAAGTTCTTTCTAATAAGGTTTTTTTTTTTTGTCGGCGCCTAGGCCTAATACTAACATGGGAAAAACATGGCCTGGGGGCCGGGTCTAGCCTGCCAAGCAATTTAATCTGGCCTGTTGCTCACTTTCTGCGCTGCTTTGACGCATCTGCGGAGTTTTTGCGGCGACAGCCACATTGCTCCCGCACTGATTTTGCAGCACCAACCCCCCTCGGCTAGCTACTGTAATGTGAAGACATTTGCGTGACATGCTTGTTCACTTGTCACTAGCAGCCCTCAACAACGTCTGCTTATGATAAAGAAAGCTAGATGTGGAATGGAGGATTTTCAACAACCATTACATTGCTAAGTATTTACTGCTGAAGTCTGAGATAAAGCTGTCTGCTTAGTTTGCAGGAAGCAGTAGTACAATGCAAGTCTGCACCAGACGAAAGCAGAGAAATACAGAGTGACGGTGAAGCAAAAGTAACAAGACTTTCACCAAGCGTTGCTTGTTTGGAGCGATATGGTAGTTTCCTTATGGCACATTCACTAAGCACGTTCACTAATAAAAGCTAATGAATCATATATGTAACAAAACGAACAAGTCCATTACCATTGCATCAAGAACTTTCATTGCATAAATTACATTAGTGCATAAATTACATTAGTTGTAAGTCAAATCAAATCTGAGTTTTGTAAATTTGAGTTCAAATTTTTGACCCGGCCCCTCCATATTATTAAGAAGTAGAACTTCACACACCAATGGCTGGACCAGGTGCATAGGAGAGGGGGAAATTTGCCTGATGAAGGTCTCAGGACTGAAATGTAACATTTTCCAATAAAAAATGTTTTTTGCAAGGACAGCAATTTGTGGGAACCATTATTTATTTCATGTGACCCAGCCCTCCACAAAATGTTCTCTTTCTCATGCAGCCCCCTGTAAAAAATAGTTGCCCACACCAGCACTATTATGTTTAGTCCTTGAAGCAGTGCATATTAATTGGACCGAAAGGAAAGGCTTGTGTCAATCCAAACCTGGAGCCGCAGTCATAGCTCTGCAATAATTCCAAAACCTTATCATATAAAATGTACTTGCTTTAGGCCGCCTGGCTGAAAGCCAATGGGTAAGCCCAATCAAATGTGTAAAAAAAAAAAAAATTATGTCCGGCCCCTGACAGCAGAGAGAGATTCCAATGTGGCTCTCAGGGGCAAAAGTTTGCCCATGCCTGCTTTAGTATCTGGTACTGTATCTTACATACCCACAACAAGCCAATTTCCGGGGGAAGCTTACTTGGTAGCCATGGCTTCCAGCTGCACTCTGGTGAACCCCTGGTAGTTATAACACTTTAGAACAGGGGTGTCAAACCAGTTCCAGAAAGGGCTGGTGTGGCTGCAGGTTTTAGTTTCAACCTGAGCATAAGCACACGAGACTCAAAACTGGACTCCAGTTCCAAGTTTTATTTGTGGAGAAGCAAGTCTTCTCACAGTAAATGTCAAAAATCCCCCGTAACTGAGAATGGTTACTACTTACTTACTTACAATATATACATATCTAACGTGAGAAGTTTCCAGTCGACCCGATTGTGTTCTCTCGTACTTGTTGTGTTGATAATGTCACGGTGTGGATTTTGTTATTTTGAACTTTAGTTTTATTTTGATATTCTGTTCTCTGTGCTTTGGTTTTAGTTTGACTTTGACGCCCTGTTTCCCCTGTCTTGATTGTCTGCCCCGCCCTAATGTGTTTCACCTGTGTCTGTCTATAATTACCCTGTGCTCCTCTCCTCTTGTTGCTGGTCCATTGTATTGTCAACTTCTGTTCCGTCCTGTTTCTGATTTCGTGTTCCTTGTTCTGTATTTAGTAGTGATGGGTTGATGAAGCTTCATGAAGTGTTGAACCTTTTCATCCATTGGTTCGAGAAAAGGTTCATTTCTTGATGCTTCATATGCTCACAAACCTCCTGTTGGTCAAAATCTGTATTGACAATTGAACTGTTTGTGAGGCTCTTGGTGCATAGGAATTAATACTGGTAACAGAAATAAAAATGTAATTTGATTGTGTATGACCCATTAATTCATCTGTTTCATTATGATCAATATCAGTAGTGAAAATGAATATATTTTAAATGACAATAAAATATAATGTACTGGTAACTGGTACAGTTGTCTGCTCTAATACACACACACACACACACACACACACATACATATATGTAGATATATATTTATATACATATTTAATGATGAATGATTATAGCTTTTCAAGTCAAAATCAATGTTATAAATCCAATGGGACAAAAAACATGTTGAAAGTGTAAGTGCTTTTCAAAGGACGTGACACAAATGGGGATATCATTTGGGATTGTGACCCCATCAGTTGTTTAAAACCAAAACATTTCTGACAAAAACGCACTGCCGGTGAGATTCGAACCCCGGTCTCCCAGATTCCAGCCCTGCTTCCCTATCAATTGAGCCAACCAGCTGATACCACAACCCTCTCCATCACTGACTACATTAATCACCAAGACAAACACACAGTTTGAGCGGATCTTCTGCAGTACTTCATGAATCGCTCCATATCCTGTGCTCCCGAGGCTTCAAACGTCATTAGTGACGTCACTCATCTAAAACAACTCAGGCTTCGGCCCGCGCTCCGATAAAAACTTCAGGGATTTCTCGGCTCACGCCCCGAAGCGCCGACGCGGCACGACCCATCACTATTATTTAGGATTTTGAGTTTTATTTTCACTTTGGACTTTATTTCATTAAACCATTATTTTGGCATTCCTGCATTTTGAGTCTTCCTCCTTCCCACCCCGTGACAGAATGGACCAGCCATCTAAAGGACTCAGCGGATTGCCTTTTTTCCCACAAGGTTTTTTATTTTTTATTTTTTTGTGCCGATTGCCTTCTTCGCTGCCTACCTCTTGCACCTGTTAACTGGAACCACCGCCAGGCAAGAAACTCCGCCTGGGGTGGTTATTCGTCTTGCACCACTGCCGGGCATTGATGTCCGTCCGGGGTGGTCCTCTGTTCCCTCTGCCCGTCCTGTTGAGAGGTATCCAGTGGAGTTGCGCACCGGTCTTCACATCCTCAGTCTGCTGCTCAATGGTGACCTGTCCTTCCCTTGACTCTTGCCGCCGCCAGACATTACCACAGTCTGGGGTGGTTCTGCCCCCAGCCTGAGTCACCGCCGGGCATATGTCTTCGTCCGGGGTGAGCCAGCTCCTTCACTCTCCAGACCCTCGGGAAGGTTGCCACTGGACTTTAGATCCTGTCCCTGATTGGTTCCGTACCACTGACCTGTCTCTGGCCCATCCTCCATACCCCCGCCACCCTCCCTGGCTCGTGTTTTTGTTTTTTGGGGACATCTGGGAGCTGTCCCTTGGAGGGGGGGTACTGTCACGGTGTGGATTTTGTTATTTTGGACTTTAGTTTTATTTTGATATTCTGTTCTCTGTGCTTTGGTTTTAGTTTGACGCCCTGTTTCCCCTGTCTTGATTGTCTGCCCCGCCATAATGTGTTTCACCTGTGTCTATAATTACCCTGTGCTCCTCTCCTCTTGTTGCTGGTCCATTGTATTGTCAACTTCTGTTCCGTCCTGTTTCTGATTTCGTGTTCCTTGTTCTGTATTTAGGATTTTGAGTT